CAGACCACACGAATACAGTTTAATCGCCATGGAGCTAAAGTCTTTACACAGCCAGTTTCATGCAAATGTGCTCCATGGGATTCCTATCTGGGGTATAACATATTCCAGTTAAACGAACGCCGGGCCGTTCGTGCACTTTCACCGACCAAGGAGGGAGGTCGGCGGCTTCAGCGGTGTTCGTGCAAAACTGTGTCCGATTTCAGTTCCATGAATTAAGCGTCGAACACCGCTGTGCATTCGCATGTTTAAAATGGCCGCGACCTCGTGTTCGTGATACGAATGGCGGCTACCCCGGCTTCGTCAATTAAGCTGCGGTTACACTCCAGCTCCAGCTCCCATGTGATCCAGTCATTCATGCGGTTGTTCGGTAGATTGAATCTACCGAACACCAGGCAGAAAAGCACGAATAAAGCTTTTCTGCAGGCAAAACAAAGTCTTTTAACATGGGGGCCATAGTCCAAAGGCAGCAGGCGAGCAACCAGGCTTCTCCAATGCAATGTGGCGAGATTGCTCTCGTTACATCTCTCCCCTTTTCCAAACAGACTAACAGGGTATCTGACCTACTGCCGGTCAGTGCCCTTGTTAGTCCAGCAGCCCATCCACAAAACACAATCAACAGCACAGCCCACCCACAATAAATGGTTACTACACCTGGATAAAGGAGAAGCTTGTCCATGTCCAGGTGTCTCACCACAGCTGTGCTGGGTATGGGTATGCTGACTTGGTGGGTTGCTGCGTGGGCAGAGACCAGCGGTACTCTGCCCTGTTGCCAGTGCTACTGGGAGGGTAGCCTGGTTGTTGGAGGGGGGGACCGACTGTCTCCCCTTTAAATACACAGCCCTGCTGCTGGAGACCGACTGTCTCCCCTTTAGATACACAGCCCTGCTGCTAGAGACCGACTGTCTCCCCTTTGGCTACACAGCCCTGTTGCTGGGGGGCAGAACCGACTGTCCCTACCCCCTGTGCTGGATGTGCAGAGACCACGGTCCCATTTGCACAGTTGTGGGGCTTACTGTCTCCCCCGGGTACATTAAGCTGCCGCTCGGGAGAGGGGGTAACAAGCTCCTCTCCCATACCGACTGTCTCTGCTCCCAATACAGAGTCCTGCTGCTGGGGAAAGGAGACTGGGCTCTCTATTCCCGGTAGGACACTCTGCCGCTGGGGAATGGAGACTCGGCTCCCAATTCCCTGCAATTCATTCTGCTGCTGGGGGACAGGAGCAATTATCTCTGTCCC